ACCCAAGTTTCTGAAATCTTCCAATTTAGATAATCTGATGATAGTGAGTAGTGTTTAGTCAATCCTCTTTTGTCTAAAGCTCTTTTGTCTAAAATTGTGTCATATTGGCAACAGTGTGCCTTTATTTTAAAAATAAGTTTTAGTATTTAGAGTTTTAACTTTTTTTGAACATATGGGATATTTACAAACTTATAAGTGAAAGAAAGCATAGCAGATACTTTACTCAATTTTTAGTGATTTATCAATTTATAGTATTTATGTTGTCTTCATACCAAAAAACGTAGCATCGAATTTTAACATATAAAAGCTTATAGATGTTAAACCTGAGTATGATAAACATACTGATTTTTTTGGCAGTATGTGCTAAAGGATTTATAGGTGAAGCATCTTGATATCTGTAGTTTACTGGAAGATAGTTCAGATAAAAAAGAATGGGGAGGGGGCTGCGTGGCTCTGTCCGTTAAGCATCTTACTCTTGATTTCAGCTGAGGTCATGAACTCACTGTTCCTGAAATCAAGCCCCCAAACTTGGCTCTGTGCTGACAGCGGGAGTCTGCTTGGGATTGCCTCTCTCCCTCTTTCTCTGCCCCTCCCCCAACTTGTACATGCACATGTTTTCTCTCCCCCCACCCCCAATAAATAATAAACTTAGAAAAAAAAGTGGGAGGGGAAAGAGGGAACTAGAGGTAAAGCCAAGAGTTGCAAAATGTTAACATTTGGTGAATTTAGATGAAGGATGTTTTCATTGTGATATCTTTCAACTTTTTTGAAGGTTTGAAATTTTTCAAAAAGTTGGGAAAAACATTAGTCACAGGGAATAAAAAAATTAATTTTTAGAGGTATGTGTCAGTATTATAAGAAATGACAGGATGAAAATATATTACATTAGGATAAAATTATGTGGGGGGAAATAAAATGAAGGGCTGGCTTGTTCATGAAGTTTTGTAAAGGGAAATTTTGTAAATGGTAAATGTATGAAATTGCTGTGGTTTTTAGGTTTAATTGGTGTGTTTAAAAGTGATGGAACTATTTTATTTTAAAATGTCAACTCATATCAGAAATGACATCTTTTGTACCTCTTCAGACTTCTGGTGAAAAATTTGAGATGCCAAATGAGAAACCTACAAGTAGGTACATGAGTTTTACAAATTCTTTTGCGGTAATGAAAGCAAACAGGTTTGAAGATTTAAGATCTGGCTAATGTTCTTTCAGCTCTTTGGGTTCCAAGAATATGGTGCTAAGAGTTCACTCAGTTATACTACATACTGGCATGGGCAGATGGATGTGACTATTTTAGCAAAAGGCATTATATAGCTTATGAAGCGCAGCCATATTAACCTTCTCCCAAACCTGTACTATTCCCACGGACATAAAAACTTTATGTTCACCTGCCGAGAGCAGTCATAATATGTTGTTATATAGTTTAAGTCACAGAATTGTTTTATGACTTTGTAATTTCCCTTTTCTGTAAATGTGTATTGATTTCTTTAAAAACTATATCATAAGTAAATGGTATTACTAACATAATTTTTACTAGCTATAACACTAGTAATTTATAAATGAACTTAAAAACAAATTCTAAGTGTCTTTTAAAAAACTACCTGGAGGGGCGCCTGGGTGGCGCAGTCGGTTAAGCGTCCGACTTCAGCCAGGTCACGATCTCGTGGTCCGTGAGTTCGAGCCCCGCGTCAGGCTCTGGGCTGATGGCTCAGAGCCTGGAGCCTGTTTCTGATTCTGTGTCTCCCTCTCTCTCTGCCCCTCCCCCGTTCATGCTCTGTCTCTCTCTGTCCCAAAAATAAATAAACGTTGAAAAAACTACCTGGAAAGACCTCACTTGTGGTAGTTACTTTCACTTGAGATCATTCATACAGAGATTTGGAATGTGTGCTTTGAATGTTTAATTGTGCTGGAAATCTAAATGCCAGTGTCTTCCTGTGTAAACCATAGCTTGTAGTACTTATTGATTGACTTCTGTATTCTCCTAAAAGGTTAAGATTTAATTTTTGGAGTGGAAGAGTGAGGCGTACAAGGTACATATACATTGTGCAAAACTACGTAACTGAAAATCGTGTGTACTTTTTTTGGCTAGAGACATTGTGAGAATGTCATTCCTTTTAATAGATCAAGCTGGCTAATAAAGAGACTTCTGCATTGTTCTTATAACCTTATCAAACATTTCCTTGGTTTTATAGAAAATGGGAGACTGTGGAGGCTTAATTTAATGAAATACAGATTAAAAAATCACCAGTGGTATTTTCAAGTGTCTTGAAAATAACCATGAAAATCAGAAAATTAATATTACTACCATTTCATTCTCAGACCCCATTTAAGTTTTGTCACTTGTGTCAGTGAAGTTGTTTATAGCAAAAGATCCAGCTCAGAATCACACATGACATTTAGTTGACATGTTTCTTTAATCTCCTTTAGTCTGGTACAGTTCTTCAGCTTTTTGACTTCCAAAATTACAGGTCAGTTATTTTGTAGGATGGCTCTGGATTTGGCTGGTGTTTAATCATGATTAGATTCAGATTTATATCTTAGGCAGGAATTTCACAAAAGTGATTCTGTGTTCCTCTTATTATGTTCTATCAGATGGCATATGATTGCATTTTGTCCCATTGCTGGTAATGTTTACTGAGCACCTGATTAAGATAATGTCTGCCAGGCTTTCTGTATTAGTTTCTTATTGGTGCTGTAACAAATTCCCACAGTCTTAATGGCTTATTACATTATTGCAATGTAAATTTATTCTCTTACAGATCAGGAGGCTGGAAGTCCAAAATCAATTTCACTAGGCTAGTCATGGTGTTCGTAGAGCTGGTTCTTCCTGGAGGCTCTTGGTTAGAGTCTATTTCCTTGCCTTTTCCAGCTTCTAGAGATAGCCTGGGCTCCTTGGCTTATGATTCCTCCTTCCATGTTCAGAGGATATCACTCCACCATCTGCTCCTGTTGTCATATCACCTTCTTTGTCTTTGACCCTCCTGCTTCCTCCTTATAAGGACCCTTGTGACTATATTGTATCCATCCAGATAACATAGAATACTCTTCTCTCTCAAGATCTTTAATTTAATTGGATCTGTAGAGTCTTTTTTGCCATGTAAGATAATATAGTCACTGGTCCTGGCTATTAGGATCTGAACTTCTTGGGTGGCAATTATTCAGCCTACCATACTTTGCCACTGTAAAATTATTTTTTCCCTTTTGTAATTTGTGGGAAGGCACTTGAATCCCTTGTTCTTATTAGTGGAGAATGGTATTTAGAAACTAGATCTGGGTACTAGTGTGCTTACTGCTATTGGTCTCACACACTGTTCCTAGGCTCACTTAATAGACAGTGCCTGTATGTGTATGTATATAAGTCTATGTCTGTAATCCTTTATTAAAATATATTAGTTTATAGCAATATCTTCAATTCCAGTTCAGTACCACAGGATTCATTCTTATTATTTTCTCATATATATAACTCCCTTCTGAGTCCAGTTATCCTTTGTGTATTAACTTATTTTATCAATCCCCCTGTATGTTACCAGTCTCCTTTTCTGTCACCACCCCTTTCCCTCTATGGATCCCTCTTCACCACACCTGGTTGGTTCTGCTACCTCCTGTCACCTAGCTCTCCATGTGGATGCTTTCCTCAAAGTATGGTGGTAACAGGGTAGTTAGACTTCTTACATGGTGGCTTTGGAGCATTCTGTTATAGGCAAAGTTCTTTTACTTATCTAACATCTCATTTAAGGACTGTGATTTTGTAGTTTTTTTAGTATTGTGAAAAAATTTATATTTAGTATTAGCCAGCTAGACTCTATTTAGATGATCTCATTTTTGTTGGCAACATCCAAAGCATTATAGTCAGGAGCCAGTGGACCATATGCCTTCTTAATCACGCCTGATCAGGGAGTTGACCATGGCCCTTGTCAATATCATAGAGCTTCTTCATAATCTGTCTGATCTGGTGCTTGTTGGCCTTGACATCCATAATGAACACAAGTATTGTTGTCTTCTATCTTCTTCATGGCTGACTCATTGCTCAGGGGGAACTTGATGATGGCATAGTGGTCAAGCTTGTTGCTCTTCCAGAGAAAATATTTGGGCTACCTTTGGAGTGTCTTGGGCCACCAGAAGGTGGGTAACATGCAGATCTTTTTTTTTTTTTTTTTTTTTTTTTGTGGCTGTGGTTGCCTTTCAGCACTGCCTTCTTGGCCTTCCAAGCCTTTGTTTTGGCTTTGGCTTTGGGAGGGGCAGGGTTTTTTTTCCTTTGCTTTCTGCATGCCATCTTTGCTAAGAGGTACATTTTTTAAAAATTAAATTAAATTAAATTTTATTTTATTTTATTTTTTTTGGTACATTTTTATTTTATAACTTTTTTTTTTTTTTAACTTGGGAGACTTATTCAAGTGATTGGTAGTGAGTTTATTAGTAAAACAATACATGATATTTTGGCTTGGTTTAATTCCTTTTTAGTTGAATTGCAGATTTTTTTCTGAGGACTAAAATAATGCCTTTCATAACTCTTATATGAACCTATTTTAACTTCTTATGGGTTTGGGTGACTTTTCTAATTTAACATTTTCATGATTGAATAATACCATTTCCGCTTAGCTTCCTTAATAAGCTGCATGTTTCAACTATTTTATACTTTCTGTACCTCCTATAGCAGAAGGGAAAGGAAGAAAGCATTTCTCAGAAATTACTGATTATGTGGCTACGTATTTTGGATTCAAGTCATTTTTTTGCGTTTTTTGATTAGAAGTTATTTAAGTCTCATATGCAAATGGTTGCCTGGTAGTTGAACAAAATTTTCCAGATAGATCATTTGTTTGGAGTGGCAGAAAAATTAACCTATATTGTGAATTTTTCTTAAAGGTTATTTGAGAAGGTAGTACTTTGATGTTCCAACAAAATTTATATTGGTAATGAAGGTTAGTATGTTATTAACTGGTTTTGTCTTCACAGTGAAAAATGCTTCAACTTACCATCTTATTTATTTATTGTTTTGACAGAGCAAATTCGATTAAAGAATATCAGAAAAGTATATGGAAGATGTATGTGGTATCGTTTACGGTTATTAAAACCCCAGCCAAATATTATTCCTACTGTAAAGTAAGTAATTGGTTTCAATTAAAAAAATACTTCTTATTCTTTGCTAGGTATCATATAAAATATGGGTGTAATGATGAATAAGACATATGTTTAAAGAAATTGTAGCCTTAGTAGGGGTAAGATGTGAGTTTGAGAGCTGTCTGAACAGAATGATTTAGGAGAGGGAATGTACTTTTTTTTTTAATGTTTATTTACTTTCAAGAGACAGAGCATGAGCAGGGGAGGGGCAGAGAGAGAGGCAGACACAGAATCAGAAGCAGGCTCCAGGCCCCAGCCGTCAGCACAAAGCCTGATGGGCTCAAACCCATGAACCATGAGATCATGACCTGAGCCGAAGTCGGACGCTTAACCAACTGAGCCACCCAAGGCACCCTGAGACAATGTACTTCTGACTTGAGGGAGGGTGGGAGAAAGGGAAGTCAAATTTTGAAGGAAGACCTTGTGCATCTTGCCAGGATTTGAATTTTGCCTTAAAGATTATGGGGGAATCTTTAAAAGATTATCAAAAACAGGGAGGTGACATGATCAAGTTTGCATTTCATAGTGATAATTAAGGTTTATTGAGCACACACTGTATGCCAGATGTGCTAAGGCTTTATGTGTTATCTCCTAATTTTATCATTAACTTCAAAGTAGATGTTTTTGCTGTTTTCTGAGATGAAGAACCTGAGACTAAGAGGTTCTCTTCGCTCCTGGAGAGCTAGAAGCGTTCCTGGAGCTAGAAGCGGTGGAACGGGGACCTAGTCACCCTTTATTTTTGCACGCCAATCTGATTAAACAAGCCATTAGAATTTTTAATTAGAGCATGCGTGTTTGATTTTGTGAGGCAAGGGGGCCTGGGGTCTGCTGGTTTAGAGACTAGGCTTTGGACCTTCACCCTGAGTCAGTTTTGAGGTAGTAGATGAATCTGATAGGTGATGAAAGAGTTGCCATTATAGGAGGACTGTATCTTGTGAATTACTTATATCTGTCTATCCAGTAGATAGGAGGGGAAGAACTAGCAGAGGAAATTAGTAAAAGTAGAACCATGATTTTTTTTGGTTTAAATGATGATGATAATTTTCAACATCTCTAACTTCAAGGGTTTTAAATAGTTTTTCTTTGTAAGGTTTGACTTTGCCTAGTTTAGTTCCTTTACAGAGGAAGGGAAATCTTAGCTTTGGTGTTAAGAGTTCTTCAACGATGCAAAACTAAAACTCAAAGTTAGTGTTTACAAGAGTAGTTTTATGTTCACTGTTGACTCTGCCTTTGCTTCTCATAGTTTTATGAGGCAGCAGGCAAATTTTTTTTTGCCCTCCCAATCTCTTCTTTTCTGGGCTTTGGTCAACACTATGTCAGTATCTGAACTTCAGTTTTCAAGGAAAAAGCCCAATTGTGTAAAGTTCTCTTCAGTGATTAGCAAACTGATTTACTTAAATGAAAGTACAGATTAAGGGATGTTTATAAGTAAGGAAGAATTAAATAGATAACTGGTAACAATTTTAGATAAGGTCAGAAACCATCAAAACCTTTTTGCTCCATAACCTTAAAGCATTCTTTCAGAATTAAGCAGTCATTGTGTAATGCTCTAATTTGTGGAAGTTGGTTCCAAAATGACCTTTAAAATATGCTTAAAGAAAAACACGAGACTTCACAAGTTGATCACTGACCCTATATGTAGGGAAAAATGCTTATCTTTTCACAGGACCTAAATAATGTTTTTTAAAAATTGGGTGGGGATCATGATGAAATCCATTATGTTTCCACCTTTGCTTGGTTTTTAGGAAATGAAAACCTGGCTTTATTGGTGGTTATAGTTTTCATCAGCCTCTGAAGGATTTTGTTATGAGGTTGTCTTCTCTTCCCTTTATATTTTGTCTCAGAGAGCCAGGTGCTACATGTAAAGCTATCATGGGGTGTAGCATATCCTAGGTGTTTTCATTTTCCTTCTACCTTTGTTTGCTTTTAAATCTTGTTTATTTGTTTGTTTTTGGTGGTTTTCAATTTTACTTTTATCTTTGTTTTCTGAGCTTTCTTAGCCTTTTGGGGGAGTTGGCAGAACGAAATGTGGAATTATTAACTTGTGTGGGAATAAAGTAGGTTTTCAAGTGTTTTTTAGCAAATTGAAGGTATAGCGAACTTTGGGTTTGAATTAAAAATTACTGTTTAGGGACACTTGGTTGCCTCAGTTGGTAGTGTCCAACTTCAGCTCAGGTCATGATCTCATGGTTCATGAGTTTGAGCCCGCATTGAGCTTGCTGCTGTCAACACAGAGCCCACTTCAGATCCTCTGTCCCCCTCTCTGCCCCTCCCTCGCTCACACTCTATCTCAAAAATGAATAAACATTTATTTTTAGAAAATTACTGTTTAAATTATTTTCATTATTCATTCAATAAGTAGTTATTGTATGCCTATTATGTATGTATCAGGTGTTGTACCAAGAGCTGATATATTGTGATTAACAAATAGATGTGGTTCAACAACTTAACAGTTGTGAGAAATACAAGTAAACAGGTAATGATAATAATAAGGGCTGTGAGGTGGGTGCCATGAAAGAGCAGAGGAAGGGCTCTCAACTCTGGCTTGAGACAGAGAAGGCTTCTCTGAGTGAGGTCAGAGCTGAGATTTGGGTCAGAGATACTAAGAACAGCTAACAGGAATCGATTGTTTGCTATCAGTGAGGCACCTTCTAGGTGCTTTACGTACCTAATCTCATTTAATTATTAAATCTACCCTAAAAATTGGAAACCGAGTTGTAAAGGAGAAAGCAACTTTCCAAGATCTCTAAGTTAATAAGTAGTGAAGCTGGGATTTGACCTCAGGTAGTTTTATTTCAGAGCCTATGTTCTTAATTACCTCTCCCTACATAGCTAGGTAAGAGTGTTCCAGTTACGGCATCCTCTTTGTCTTTGGGTGTTTAGGTAGTATGGAAAGCCGTTTGCAGTACTGTATTTTGCCCTTAATAAGAATTGGAACGTTATTTTGGCCAGACAGAAAGAAATTTGCATCTGAATGCCAACTGTGTTTAAGCTACTCTGGGGTTAGTCAAAACTGAGTGAGATACTGTCCACAGCTCAAGGAGCTTGCAGTGAGTTCGAGGGGGAGAGACATGGTTTTACTTCTTTTGCTTCTTTTTGGCTGTTTCTCCATTGATGACCTTGGCAAAGGTAAGCCTTGCTTTGAGGTATGAGTCTGGAAGGATGAATAGTGTTTGGATAGGCAGAGATGGGGAATGGGAATTCTAAGTAGAAAGATTCAAGAGCAAAAGCATGATGGTGGGAAAAGCTTAGGGAGCTTGGGGAGATGGTTTTTTTGTGTTTGTTTTAAGTAAGGGTGATAAAGGTCATTAGGTAGGTTGGAACTTGATCATAGAGTCTCATTCCAAATAAACATATTTAAGCTAGATTTCTACCAAGTGAGCTTAAACACATGGAATGTTTTCTGTCTTTGAAAACGGGTCACTCCAATTTTGTTTGGTTAGGTTTCCTATGATTCATTTTATGTGTTTAACAGTTCCTACTCAGCATAACAAATTGATGTAAAGGGCATAAAAAAATAAAAATTGTTCAGTTTCATCACTTAAAGATAGCCACTATTAAGATGATTTACTATCTATATTTTTATTTATAATAAACTTTTATCTGTAAAAATAGCATTATATAATACATATATTTTTGAAAGCTGTTTTTCTTTATTTTAATTAAAAAAATTTTCTTTGAGTTTAATTTTTTTGAGAGAGACAGAGACAGTGCAAGTGGGGGAGGGGCAGAGAAAGAGGGAAAGAGAGAATCCCAAGCAAACTCCACACTGTCAGCACAAAGCCCAACATGGGGCTTGAACCCACAAAACTGTGAGACTGACCTGAGCCAAAACCAAGAGCCTGCGCTTAACTGACTGAGCCACCCAGGAGTCCCTCTTTTAAAAAGTTAACAATAGATAATCTTCCACAGCAAATACTGTGTTTATTGCCTAGATGATATTTCACTGTATGAATATACTGTTAATTTATTTGTCTACTACTCTATTGATGGACATCTCTGTGTTTGTTTTCTGCTGTTATTTATATCTGTGACCAGTTTTTTATCCTTTGTATACTTAATTCTAGTTTATTTCCTTCTAAATTTCTTGAGGTAGATTGTTAAAAGGGTGTGTACTTTAGGGTTTTTGACCGTATTGCCAGATATTTTTTCAGAGTTTAGAGTGTATGAGTCTTCCTTTTTTCTTTAGCCTCTCCAACATTGCTAATATCAGTCTTTTAAATATTTTTACTAAATAAAACATATTGGAGAGGAGAAATTAGGTTTTTTCCAAACCATATGTTCCTTTATATCCTTTTTTAACCTATATGTGCATCTTTCTATATCTGTGTTGGCTAATTGTTTGGTTGTGTCTTGGTTTATTTAATTAATCTCCTATAAATGGTTTATTTAATTAGTTCTATATAAATGGACATTGAGTTTGTTTCTGAAGTTTTACTGTTATAAACAAGGCTATTCCTTCATCATTGCATAATTGACCCATTTTTTGTAGTTTATCTTAGTAAAAGTGTAATTGCAAGGGTAAGAGCAGCTCTTTTTTTACATTACATGGTTTACTGAATGCTTAGTATTGATATATTTTGATCTAATATAGTGAGACCAATAAGTTAGTAAGTTGAATTAAGTTCTACACATAAAATTCTGCAAATAGTAATTGAGGGAATATCACATGCAAGACTCTAGATGCAAGACTATATTAGATTCTAGAGAATCCATAGGTAAAAAAGACACTGTTCTGGCTGTAACAGGAGTTTACAACCTAGAGATTGTAGAATTGACTCAATAGCATAACGATGTATACACTTTAGATTGTTTTATTGCCTTGATCTGCCATAATGTCTTTATAGACTCTTAAAGGAAAACCATATAGATGTATTTATTTATACTTTACTTATCTTTTTCCTAAACAGGAAAATAGTTCTGCTTGCAGGATGGGCATTGTTCTTATTCCTTGTATACAAAGTTTCCAAAACAGACCGAGAATATCAAGAATACAATCCTTATGAAGTATTAAATTTGGATCCTGTAAGTAGTATTTTTATATAATGCACATTAGTTTATTGATCTCATGAAAATACTGTAAGTCTAAATTCTAAAAGAAATTGGGTTGTGCCTAAAGAAATGAGACTTTGGATATTTAATCTATTATTCTAATGTATATATGTTTTTTAAGCTACAAATGTTGATTGCCATTCTAGTAAGTCTTGGTTTGTAATTGCTAAAATGTAAGAATATTTTAAGTAAGATGAGAAATTAGTATATTTTTTAAAGACTTGTGTAGGATTGGTTTAATGCAAAGTTAAAACCAGGAGTTCATTTATGTTGGTTGAATGATAAAAATCTTATGACCCTTTGTTAGATGACACTAAGGCAGTGTGTTTAAGTCTTTGTGTCTTACAAAGAACTGGTTTCATTGTAACCTTGGATATACTCTTTAGGTGATTTCCTGATTGAACTTGATTGATGGATCCCAATAGAAAATTGGTCTTTTAGATATATCAGAGGAAAGTTAGAACTGAAATGAATGCTAGAGATCCTCTAGCCTTTTTTTCAAATGGAGAAAACAAGGCCTGAAAAATTGTGTCTTGCCTGGAGTGCCATAACTTCTTAGTAGCCAAGCTGAATCTAGTGCTCTTTCTACTTTTCCCCCAAACCACTTTTTTTACTTCTAGTATTTGCTCAGTAGATGGCTTGATCCAGAGGTTCATATTATATAATATAAATATGAAACATACCTAGTTTTCTGTTTTGGAGAAGCAAAATTTGCTTTAAGACTAATAAAAGATTTGTGGGCAACTTAATGCCATACAAATTAATATGAAAAGTTTATTAATAGAAATTGAGTCTAATTAGGAAACAGCTAAGGTAACCTTCTTAAGTATTTATTTAATATTAAAATATTGATAAGCAGATGAAACCAGATTTTCTTCAGATTATTTCTTAGAAGGGAAGTTAATCTTTGATTTGAGGGTTTCTTCAGAGAGACTTAATTTACTGTGATCATTCTTTGATATTTAAATGTTACTGTCCTTTTATTTCAATGTGGCATTATGTAGTTTTACTCTTAAATCATTGGTGCCTAGTGTGCTGCACAACATGTAGGTGCTCAATAAAATAAATGTATTGGACAAAGTAAGTGTATTTTTATTAAAAATACATGGGATGAAATTTAAGGGACAAGTATATAGGATGAAAACACTTTCTCTTTCTGAAAATATTTAAAAAAATTTTTTTAGTATTTTTGAGAGAGAGAGAGAGAACAAGTTGGGGAGGGGCAGAGAGAGAGGGAGACACAGAATTCGAAGCAGCCTCCAGGCTCTGAGCTGTCAGCACAGAGCCTGATGTGGTGCTTGAACCCACAAACTACGAGATCATGAAAGTTGGACACTTAACCAACCGAGTCACCCAGGAGCCCCTCTGAAAATATTGAATAGTTTATATTTTAAGTTCAAAATGGGATGAATTATGTTTTTACAGCATTGTGCTTAGTTTTACTAAAACAAAGCTTTCCTTTCAGGGGGCAACGGTAGCAGAAATTAAGAAACAGTATCGTTTGCTGTCACTTAAATATCATCCAGATAAAGGAGGTGATGAAGTTATGTTCATGAGGATAGCAAAAGCTTATGCAGCGTAAGTATCATAGGACCCATTACACGTTTTTAGAAGTGGTAAAGAAAGTTCTTTATTTGAATGAAATAGTCAGTTGTTGTCGGGCACTTTGAAATGCTAAAAACCTCATATGTTGAATCTATTCTTTATGGAACTGCATGACATCCCAAAAGTGCTAATTTAACTAAGCTTGAATTTTAAGTAAATTAGTTAAAGTAGTGCTTTTGCCCTGTGATGTTAGTTAAATTAAGTAGTAAGTTAATTGAGCTATTTTCGAAGTATCCTGATTAGAAGAAGATATGCTTACACCTTGTTTTCATTTCTAGGCTTTTATTAAGCTGGATCTGTTTCTCTTGTTTTGGAAATGTAGCTGTCGATTAAACTATGTAAAGACTAGTTTAATTTTTGGGAAACAGGATAGAGTGTATAAAATTAGAGGTAGCTCTTCCTTGAGTGTTAATATTACAAGAGGTAAAAGTTAGCTGGATTCTTCAGGACTCATAGGCATATCCCCGTATAGCTCTTGCATTGAATTAAAGAGTAAAATACGGACAAGATATTGTCTGTTTTTAGAGGACTCAGTGATATATCATTTTGTAAGCTGATTTTAAAAATGTAAGTCATAGGATACTCAGATATAATAGCAAACTGTGAAAGTGGCATGTGAATTACAGAAGTTTGGGAAATAATCATTTTATGCTTAATAAAAGTCTATTGACTGTGTTTCCTGTCCCCTCTTTTTTGTGAGTTGCTTGTTACATATGTGAATATGATTCTGCAATAAAGCAGTGCCATTAGGAGCTTCTGAAGGGTATACTACATTTTCTGCATAGCAGATGTCCTCCAGATTACAGTCTTTCAGTTGGTGTCTCCCCCTTTTTTCATTGTGTCTCCTCCGGCCATTTACTCTCATTACACAAGTGTTTCAGTGCCTTAGTTGCTGTCTTCAGGTAATTTCAGAAGAATTCAAGATACCCAGAGGAAGTCAGATAGCTAAGATTATTTAGTAATTTTAATTTTAGTTTAAATTTAGTTTTCAGGTATTGTAACTTTATTTATTTATTTTGAGAGCGAGAGAGAGCAAGTGAGCTGGGGAGGGGCACACAGAGAGAGAGAGAGAGAGAGGGAGAGAGAAAATCCCAAGCAGGCTCTGAACTGTCAGCGCAGAGCCCAATGTGGGGCTCGAACGCACAACCATGAGATCATGACCTGAGCCAAAATTGAGTCAGATGATTAACTGACTCAGCCACCCCAGGCTCCCCAGGTATTGTAACATTTTTAAGTTCATGAATTTGTCCTCAAGTTAATGGAAATCTGACTCTTTATGATGTATGGTCACTTTTCTAAAAAGTACAGAAGAATAATATATGGCTTTTGGTTTTAACTCAATTACCTGATCAAGATACAGAATGTTTTGTGTTTAAAATGTCTTAAATAGTTGATGGTCCATCAGACAAATGAAGGAGTAAAATGATTATGGGACCCAGAACTTTGAGATCTTGTAGCTTGTATAAGTATAAATGAATTAGATAAAGGTACATTTTACTAATTACAAGTTCTGAGTGATTGAAGTTCATGTATTTTATGCATTACTCTAGCAGCCCAAGTATAACTCAAGCAGCATTTAAAGGCTTTGATCTGCAAAGCTTTTTAGAATTTGCTTTGGTTATTCAGGAGATTTTCTTTTCCCTTATGTGCCCATTACAGTAATAGGCTTGGGTGATTCCTATTTCTTCACACCAGTTTCTAACTTAAAGAAAAGGAGTTCTGGTTATTTTTGAGGAGTTAGACCAACTATTGAATTTTCTGGTTCATAGTTTCTGTTTTTTCTATAACCATATAGTTGAGATTTGGTTTTTGGGTGTAAAACCTGTTTTTAACCTACTGTATAGTGAGTGGACAACATAGGGGTTACTTTATTTTAAAGGAACATTTTTTTTAAGTTTATTTATTTTTTAAAGAGAGAGAGAGACAGAGCATGAGCAGGGGAGGGGCAGAGAGAGAGGGAGACACAGAATCAGAAGTAGGCTCCAGGCTGCGACCTACCAGCACAGAGACTGACTGGGGCTCGAACCCATGAATCGTGAGATCATGAGCTGAGCTGAAGTTGGATGCTCAGCTGACTGAGCCACCCACGCACCCCTAGATGTTATTTTAAAGCTATTTTAATTTTTAAAAACATGTGTTTTCATGTGTTACTATATATAATATGTAATTTTGGTTTACGTAGTCAACTCAGGGTCATTCACCTATAATTTAATGAAAGCATTCTCTAGATTAGGTTGTATGATCTGGGGCCCCCGAAACTGTATACAGAGTATATGTGTATTTGTAACTGTGCATTTTTCTAGAGCAGAAGGGTTATAGATCTTATCAGATTTGTAATAGAATCTATGACACAGCCTCCTACCTCCAAAATTAAGATATGTAATCATGTTTAGGAAACCTTATACTCATTGAATTTTTGAAAGTTATGTTAATATCATTCGTCTTGTTTAAGCTCATTATATATGAATTATACTAAAATTACATAACTTTTAAGTACTTTAAGTCTTAGAAGTGGTATTTTACCGAAGCACTAATAACTATCCAAAAATTAGTTGCTTTCTAACAACTTTTTTAAAAGTTGAGGATTCCTTTAATTTGAATATTGAACATGGTGCGTGTCTCACACCAGTTGTACAAGTCAGCTTAATGAATGAGTTAATGGAATTGTAATCAGCAGTGTGTGCAGTTTGAAAAAATCAAGTGCTTCTATGATGTGAACTATGCTTTATTTTGTGAAATTTGAGGGCATTGTTTGGAAAACAGAGCAGTTTGTTATGTTGCTGTCATCAGAAAAGTAGAGGGGATAGAGTTATGTTTGGGAAAAAATTCTGGTTAGAAGGGCGAATAGCTGAAGTCCTAAGTGAGTGGGCAGTTGTACAGGGAAACCAGGGCAAAATTTTTTGAGAAACATCCCTCCCTTAGCAAAACAGAGCTACCATATGCACCCCTCCTTCTGAAGTTGCAGTCTCTCTGATAGTGCCTTTTGTTGGCTTCTGTATTTTACTCTGGCCTTGGTCAAATAGCGTAAGTGGAGTTATGGTTAAAAAGGGACTGAGGATGTCAACGTACTTGTTTCCTTAAATGACCAGAGAAGTTTAAAAATATTTGCAATCCCTGTTGAACATAGATATAAAAATTCTCAACAAGGTATTACCAAATCACCTTCAACAGTACATTAAAAAGATCATTCATCACAATCAAGTAGAATTTATTCTGGTGCAAGAATGGCTCAGTAGCTGCAAAATCAGTCAGTATGATACACCACATTAACAGAATGAAGAATAAAAATCAGATGTTTATTTCAATAGATGTAGAAAAAGTATTTCACGAAATTCTTATGTTTATGATAAAATTCTCAAAAAAGTAGATTTAGAGGGAACGTATCTCAACATAATAAAAGCTGTATATGAAAAACACAGAGCTAACATCAAAGTCAAAGGTGAAAAACTGAGCAGGAATAAGACTAGGATGTCCAGTGTCACCATGTTTATTCAACATAGTACTAGAAGTGCTAGACACAGCAATCAGAAAAGAAAAAGAAGTAAAAGACATCCATGTTGGTAAGGAAGAAGTTAAATTGTCATCATCTGTACATGGCATGATACTGTACATAGAAAACCCTAGGGTGGCTCAGTTGGTTAAGTGTCTGACTTTGGCTCAGGTCATGATCTTGCTGTTCCCAAGTTGAAGCCCCGTGTTGGGCTCTGTGCTGACAACTCAGAGCCTGGAGCCTGCTTGGGATTCTGTGTCTCCCTCTCTATTTCTCTGTCCTTCCCCTGCTTGCACTCTGTCTCTCTCCTTCTCAAAAATAAACATTAAAAAGGGGCGCCTGGGTGGCTTAGTGGGTTGAGCATCTGACTTTGGCTCAGGTCATGATCTCACAGCTCGTGGGTTCATGCTCCGTGTCGGACACTGTGCTGACAGCTCAGAGCCTGGGGCCTGCTTCGGATTCTGTGTCTGTCTGTCTGTCTGTCTCTCTCTGCCCCTCCCCCACTGGCAGTCTCTCTCTCTCTCTCTCTCTCTCTCTCTCTCTCTCTCTCAAAAATAAATGTTAAAAAATTTTAAAAAAAATTAAAAGAAAAAAGAAAACCCTAAAGATCTCTAAAAAGCTATTAAAAGTAATAAATGACTTCAGTAAAGTTGCAGGATACAAAATTAGTACCTAGAAGTCAGTTGCATTTTTACACACTAATAATGAAGTAGCAGAAAGAGAATTTAAGAAAACGGTTCCATTTACAATTATATCAAAAAGAATAAAATACTTGGAAATAAACGTAAGGAGGTGAAAAATCTATTCTCTGGAAACTATAAAATACTGATGAAAGAAATTAAAGATGACACAACCAAATGGAAGGATATTTTATGCTCATGGGTTGGAAGAATTAATATTGTTAAAATGTCTGTATTACCCAAAGCAATCTACAGATTCCATGCAATCCCTATCAAAATACCAACAGAACTAGAACAAATAATTCTGAAATTTGTATGGAACCACAAAAGACCCTGAATAGCCAAAGCAATCTTGAGAAAGAAGAACAAAGCTGGAGGTATAACAATTCCAGATTTAAAGCTATACTACAGAGCTGTAGTCATTAAACTGTATAGGAGTGGCCCAAAAATAGAAACATAGATTAATGGAACAAAATAGCCCAGAAATAAACCTGCGTTTATATGGTCATTTAATCTATGACAAAGGAGGCAAGAATATACTCTGGGGAGAGACAGTCATTTCAGTAAATGGTGCTGGGAAAACTAGACAGTTACATGCAAGAGAATGGAACTGGACCACTTTCTTACTTCATACACAGAAATAAACTCAGAATAGATCAAAGACGTAATTATGAGATCTGAAACCGTAAAACACCTAGAAGAACATAGGCACTAATTTCTTGGACATCCACCATAGCAGTCTTTCTAGATGACATAAGGCAGGGGCACCTGGCTGGCTCAGAGCATTCAACTCTTGCTTTCATGGTCATGAGCTGAAGCCCCACATTGGACATGGAACTTACTTAGAAAAAAATAATATTAAAATCATAAGGCAAGGGAGACAAGCAAAAATGAACTATTGGGACTACACCAAAATAAAAAGCTTTTGCACAGCAGAGGAAACCAATAAGAAGGCACCCTATTGAATGAGAGAAGATATTTGCAAATGATATCTTCAATAAGGGGTTAATATCCAAAATATATAAAGAACTTAGCAACTCAACACCAAAAAACCCAACAATATGATTTTTAAAAATGGGCAAAGGACCTTAATAGATACTTTCCCAAGGAATATATATAGATGGTCAACTGATGCATGAAAATATGCTCAGCAGTACTAGTCATCAGGCAGATGCAAATCAGAACCACAATGAGGTAACGCCTTAGACCTGTCAAAATGGCTAAAATAAAAAAGACAAGAAGTAAGTATTGGCGAGGATGTGAAGAAAAAGAAATCCTTGTGCACTGTTGGTAGGAATGTTAATTGGTACAGCCACTACAGAAACTGGTATGGAGCATCCTCAAAAAAGTAAAAGTAGAAATACCATATGATCCAGTAATTCCATTACTGGGTTTTTACCCATAGAAAGCAAAGACATTCATTCAGAAAGATACATGCACTCCTATGTTTATTGCAGTATTATTTATAAGAGCCGAGGTATAGAAGCAACTCAGTATCCATTGATAGATGAATGGATGAAGATGTGGTATTCATTTATACAATGGAATATTATTCAGCTATAAAAAAGAATGTGATCTTGCCATTTGTGACAACATGGATGGACCTGGATCTAGAGGGTATTATGCTAAAGAGAAAGGCAGATATCATATGATTTCACTTATATGTGGGACTTAAAAAACAAAGCAAAGGAGTAACCAAAAGGCAGAAACAGACCCATTAATATAGAGAACAAACAGGTTGCCAAAGGGGAATGGGATGGAAGAATGGGCAAAATGGGTGAAGGGGAGTGGGAGATACAGACTTACAGTTATAGAAAAAATAAGTTTATAGATAATAGTCTAAGAAGTCTATAGAAGGAATAAAAGGCCCAACATAGAGAATATAGTCAATGGTATTATAATAGCATTGTGTAGTGACAGATGGTAGCTATGTTAGTGGTGAGCATAGCATAACGTATAAACTTGTCAGATCACTATCTTGTATACCTGAAACTAATGTAACATTGTGTGTCAACTATACTTCAATTAAAAAAAACAAAAATAGGGGGGCACCTGGCTGGTTCATTTGGTAGAACATACAACTCTTGATCTCAGGGTTATGGGTTCAAGCCCATACATTGGGTGTAGAGCTTACCTTAAAAAAAAATAATAGAAGATAGAAATTATGGTTTAGGTGAAAAAAAATTGAACTCTTTGAAAATTGTTGCTGTTTTTTTAAAGGTACTTCTGCATTCTGTCTCTTACTGTGGAGCTTTGTTGAATAGAAAACTACATTGTATCCTATGTGCATATGTTCTGGGAAATAGAAATACTGTTAAAATTAGATTTGGACATAAACATAATCTTTTGCCACATGGATTTCAAAAATGCCTTTCTTACGATCTTACTGGTCATTTTTGTGTGTGTCTGCCTTGTCTCCTTAACAACGTAAAGTTTTTGAAGGAATTGAAAATTTCTTTCAGTGTTTTTTTTTTAATACCTATTTTGGGATCTGAAATAAAACCACTCTCATTTTGTGCCTTGGACCACTGCCCAGGTCAAAGGTTATATTTCTTTTTAGGTGTTAAAAAAATCACTCTGGGGGCGCCTGGGTGACTCAGTTGGTTAAATGTCTGACTTTGGCTCAGGTCATGATCTCATGGTTTGGGAGTTTGAGCCCTGTGTTGGGCTCTGTGCCGCCATCTCAGAGCCTGGAGCCTGCTTTGGATTTTGTGTCTCCCTCTCTCTTTGCCCCTTCGCAGTTTGTGCTCGCTCTCTCTCTCTCTCTCAAAAAGTAAACATTAATGGGGCGCCTGGGTGGCGCAGTCGGTTAAGCGTCCGACTTCAGCCAGGTCACGATCTCGCGGTCCGTGAGTTCGAGCCCCGCGTCGGGCTCTGGGCTGATGGCTCAGAGCCTGGAGCCTGTTTCCGATTCTGTGTCTCCCTCTCTCCCTGCCCCTCCCCCGTTCATGCTCTGTCTCTGTCTGTCCCATAAATAAATAAAAACGTTGAAAAAAAAATTAAAAGTAAACATTAAAAAAAATTTTTTAAAATCACTCTGTCACTTTTATATTGCTGGATTAGAAAAGCATCGTTTCAGCAGGTTTTTCCCTAGTCCTTCTGGCAGTTGTTTTAGGAGAAAATTGTGACCTCAGCACAATGCAAAATGACCTTTTCTGTAGCATTGGAATTTTCCAGGTGTTCATTTTTTTCTTTTGAGAATGTGGTACCAGTTTTGGAGGGATTATTATTATTAATTTGTAGTGGGTTTATAAGTAGGTGTATATTATTAAAGTATAAGCAAAGCTCATTGAAGAAATTTTGGAAAATGTATAAGGATATAAGAAAAAAGTCCCTGTAATCCTCCCTGCTTGCTTAGAAAATTTCTAAAGTTTTATCTTCCAACTTGAACTGGCAAAACTTCAGAACCCACAGGCCAACCAGGAATTTCTCTAAAGTCTCAATAGTTAGCATTTTCTTTAATGTAGAATTCCTTGCTTTCTTCTCTTTCTTTTTATCTGATTTCAGAGAGGCTTTTCTTGATTTCCTGAAGTTAATATCTATAACAAATGAGTTGGTTCATTAATAGAGTTTGTATATGTGAGTACTTTGCAGATGTGGTTTTCTAATTTTGCAATTTTGTTCTTAATGCTAGTTTAACTGATGAAGAGTCCCGGAAAAACTGGGAAGAGTTTGGAAATCCAGATGGCCCTCAAGGTGTGGTAAATAATAATCAAAAATTACTAGTGATATAGTGTGTGTGTGTGTGTTTGTGTATTTAAGTGAAAATATTAATAGATTGAAAGGAATATTTTGATTCTTAGTTTGTGAATAGGAAAATTATAACCTCAAGGAGTTAAATGGATATGTAAATTGAGTTTCCTTTAGCTAATTTTTATTTTTCTTTCTAGCAGCCAGTTTGAAAGATAGAACTCAGATTGAGAAGAGTGATCATTGTCATTAATTTCCAATTAGCAGTTGATAAAAGTTGGATGAAAACAGTCTGTTTTTCTTTACTGACTTTAAACATTTTATCATATATTCATAGTGTTTACATAATGACATATAAAAAAATTTAGATTTACTAAGAAGGAATTCATATACTTTGGTCGAGTCCCCCCTGCCCCCACTTCTGGAAAAATCCATCGACTTTTCTGTAATGGGAACACACATAATATAATCTTTCTGAAAGATTTTTTTTGGGGGGGGAAGGGTTGGGGTGCAAATTTTGAAATATAAATAAATAAAATTGGAAGTGCAGATTCTTCAGAAATACTCTTCCTATTTTAGCCACAAGCTTTGGAATTGCCCTGCCAGCTTGGATAGTTGACCAGAAAAACTCAATTTTGGTGAGTACATGTAAATAGGACACATATAATGTGCTAGATAGATCTTAGTACTATAGAGAGCTATATCAAAATACTGTTATGCTGTCTTTAATTTAACTGTGTATTATGAAAACTTTTTATATAATAAAGAAAAGAATTGGTTCCCATTATTAGGTTGTTGTTTGGGGCGGTATGGATTTTTTTTGCTTGTTTTTCTTCAGAGGAAGGGCAGTGTGTTCTAAATGTTGTTTTAGAACCTTAAAGCTGTGGTGATTTCTTTTGGAGGTAGTTTCAGGTTGGGTCATTTCCTTGGTTTGGGGAACTGTGGTTTTATATGGTATCTATCCTAAGTAGTGCTCAACATTTAAATTATCCTTCATTTCACATTTACCCAGGTGAAATTAATGTTAATATATGTTAAATTAATGATATATATTCCATATGGTACTTAGGGAGGCAGTAGGGTATCAGACTTTTATTTGGTGATAGATTTTACAACTCTGAAACATCAGGAATTAACTTACTATTCAGGAATAGATGTTTCCCTATTTCACATATCTTAAAAATGATTAGGAGCTATCTTTGAAGCAATAAAAGAATTCATATAGTCTGTAATTTGTTTTGAAAATGGCTATTTAATGTTATTTTATGGCTGACAAACATTTGTTATCTTAGGGATATATGCTTTCTGTGTGTAAGTGTGTCTATCATGCTTAGGATTACTGTGGGAATACTGGAGAAGAGGATAGTTAGCTACCAGATTTGGAATCAAGCAGTAGGAGAAAAATCTAAGACCAATAGACAGAAATTACTTGTAAATAGAACATTATGAAGTTGCTCCTTGATAAGGAACCAGGATTCTATCATTTATTTCCAAGGCACTAACTACTTACTAACGTGTAGAGCTATAAGTATCTGACTGGAAGGAAAATATAATTTATAAAAGCTGTTTTGCTGGTATTATTTACAGAGCAAATTAAAAGGTGACTTGTTATATTGGATAAGAGCATAAGTTTTAGAATTGAAATGCCTGGATTCCAATCCACTTACTAGCTGTGTGACCTAGGACAAGTCCTGTAACCTATGTGTGCTGCAGGTTTTCTATTTGCAAAAGAAAAATAATAACAGTAGCTTTGAAAAATTTGAAAATGAAGTAAGAATTAAATGAAATAATATAAGAGGAGTGCTTTTTTTTGTTTTTAGGAGTTCATTTTTCTTTTAAGAGCTAGCAAATGGGGGAGGGGTAGAGAGGGAGGGAGACAGAATCCCAAACAGGCTACGTGCTGTCAGCACAGAGCCCGATGTGGGGCTCGAACTCAGTAACTGAAGTCATGACCTCAGCCGAAATCAAGAGTCAAATGCTTAACTGACTGAGCCACCCACGCTCCCTGAAGAGTGCTTTTGTTAGTGCCTCCCCCACGCAAGCCTCAAGGTAAGTGTTCATGGATGTTTTTATAATTTACCTGTGAAAGCCATAATTTTTTTTCTCTTCAATTCTAGGTTTTACTTGTATATGGATTGGCATTCATGGTTATCCTTCCAGTTGTTGTGGTAAGTGCTAGCTCTTTTTATTAACTTTTTTTTTGGAAAGGGAATTGGTGGGGTGCTTTGGAGCCTCCTATAATTTGTATTAGAATATAATCCATTGATCCTTGAATTTTAAGAATCTTCTATTCATCTATACTTTAAAGGTTTTCTAAAGGTGATATCATTTAAGTATGTGAAAGTATATCTCCTCCCATACAAAAGTTACATATAAGTGAAATAATACAGGTATATGTAGAGTTTGAAATGTTTTCCTTTACCGTCTTCCTCAACTTCATTTCTTTGTTAGAGATAATCACTGCTAAGTTTGGTGTTCTCCCTTTCAGATATTTTTCTATGGATTATGTTTACGTACACACTTTTTAAAAAATGTGGTCTTTCTATCATTCTGTGACTTCTTTTGCTTCCTATGTTGGAGATACACCTCATTTTTAAAAACAGCTGCATAATATGTCAATATGGAAATACCATAAAGTTTATGATTTTACTGTTACTTTTGTGACTGGTGGTTTTCTTTCTGATCTTACAGTTCCTGAGTCCCATAGTGAGACTAATAATTAACCTGTCTTGCCTTCTTCATAGGTTTATTATGTGAGGATCCAGCTGTATGGAGTCATGTGAATGAAAGTAGTATATCGACTGTAAAATTGTCCTCCACTTATCAAATATTTATTGAATCCATACTGCGTGTCAGGAACCAGCTTGTTGCTTTTATAGTGATGGGTTGTTTCGTTTCTGTTTTGTGTTCAGTTTCTAGCTGAAACTGAAATGGTTTAATCATACATATGTAGTGAGGTGGGTTGGTGTTTAGGTGTTGGGCAGTATAAATACTTGCTAAATAATTTGAAATAAGTAACAAAGGCATTTGTTCTAAAGCTCAGGTATTGTTACTGGTTTTATGAATGCTTAGGAAATTTGACTGTAACATATTCTGCATTAGACTTAATATTTATTGTGGTTTTGATGCTTTATTTATTGTTTAATTTTATTTGTGTTTTAGGGCTCTTGGTGGTATCGCTCAATACGCTATAGTGGAGACCAGATTCTAATACGCACAACACAGATTTATACATACTTTGTTTATAAAACCCGAAATATGGATATGAAACGTGAGTAAATTTAAGTATCTGTGATAGTAGATTATTTTCTGAGTCATTTATTTGGAGTTGATACATACTCCACTGGAAACCTTTTATTTCACAGTTTTATACTCAGTTCATATAACTAAAGCTGGAGGAAAGTGGCTGGTACCCTTTATCACATGTATTTCTATTATTTCCGTTTACTCAGCTATATATGTTTTTTACCCTACAAATTTTATGGTAAAGCTTCATGTGGGTTAACTTTGTAATATTGCTAGCTAATATTTCTTGAGTATTTGTTGTATGCCTGGCGTTACTATGGATTATGTAGATATTAACTCATTTATTTATTTTTTTTTTTTTAATTTATTTTTTTTTTTCAACGTTTATTTATTTTTGGGACAGAGAGAGACAGAGCATGAATGGGGGAGGGGCAGAGAGAGAGGGAGACACAGAATCAGAAACAGGCTCCAGGCTCTGAGCCATCAGCCCAGAGCCCGACGCGGGGCTTGAACTCACGGACCGCGAGATCGTGACCTGGCTGAAGTCGGACGCTTAACCGACTGCACCACCCAGGCACCCCAACTCATTTAATCTTTACTGTTTTTAAGCACATTTGATAGATGGGGAAACTGAGCTTAAGGAAATATTAAGTGGTAGAGTCAGGATCGAACTCAAGCAGTCTGGTTCCCAAGCCTTAAATCGGTACATTACACTGTATTAATCTCAGTAAAATAAGTCAGGTCTTGGGCATGCTGAAAGAAAACTGTCAGGATATTTCATTCCCAGAGTCTTATTTCAGAATTTCTTTTTAGCAAAAAAAAAGTTCCATTTAAGATGCTTTCTTTGATTCCATAAAGCTAACACTGTAAATTTTATCCTTGGAGTATGTAGTGTTTATTGCCTTTCAGAATCTCTGCTCTGCAGAAATCATAGACCTGTCATAGACAAGCCCTGCTTCTCTTCTTCTGGGAAAAAAAAGAGATGATACACGTTTTAAAGTTTTAAATTGTGTCTCACTGGAGAATACATTTTTGTTCCAAAACCTAAATGGACTTGTCTGTACTTTGGATTTGCCAATTTAACTAATTTTTTTGGTAATGAGAAAGAGACTCCTCAGGGTCATGTGACTGTGTGAACAGATTTTTTATTTCTGAGAAGTGAGCAGATCTTTTATTTCTGAGGAATGAGTGAGTTACTCTCCCTTATGCACACATGTCATTCTTCCTTATGTTGGATTGAAATATTAATATGGAAACTTAGCCCCTTATGAAAATGTTTCATGTTTATAATGTCTTTTAACGTGTTTTTTGCATCAGTGAACTTGATTTCTGTTTTATTCCTGAGTGTGGTACTTAGCCTTATACAGTACTATCAGAAAAGCATTTTTTAGCTGGTGGGCTTGGTTATATATCCTTGGTTACTTTAGTGTTGGTATCATTTACATAGTTGTCTCAGGAATAGTTGTTTTCATGAAAACATTTGATAGAGGTAGCTTACACATATTACTGTGCTTACTGTGTGTCAGGCACATTGGGAGAAACTGAGACCCATAGAAAGGTGAAGAATATTGTCCTACATCATTTAGTTAGGAAGTGAAAACTCCAGGGTCTGTGCCCTTAAGCTCTACATTGTCCTGCTTTTAGTGAGCACATGGTATGTATTTTCTGCTGGAAGGTGAGATTGATGACTATAGGTGACTATAGTGCCGGTCATTAAAAAGCTTGAACAGGGACGCCTGGGTGATTCACAGTTGGTTAAGGCTCTGACTCTTGATTTCAGCTGAGGTCGTGATCTCATGGTTCCTGAGTTCGAGCCCTGCACTGGGCTCTGTGCTGACAGTGTGGAGCTTGTTTGGGATTTTCTCTCTCTCCCTCTCTCTCTGCTCCTCTCTTGTTCTCAAAATAAGTAAATTTTAAAAAAATTATTTAAAAAAATAAGGAGCTTGTATAGACTAACAAGTAATGCTCATAGTGTATGTAGCTGCAAATCATGTGTATTTCAAAGAACATGTCCCGCAAACCCTTCAGGGTTCCATGATAAAAATTTCTGTAAATTATAGAGTATTTCAGTTTACTTAAGGTTCTGAGAAGTCATCAAGCGAAGAAACCTAAAACTCTTTTACCTCATTGTTTCTCAGCCTTGTTTAACCATAGAGCCCCCTTTGTTCACATAATAGTTATTAACATAGTATGGGATACTTAATAGTTACTCTGTAGAAAGTTTCTGTGGAACACGTGCTTAAATCTAGAAACAGATGGTATTTGAAGTGATTTTAATGCATCCGGTTTCTTTGGGGTCCTTAATGTATGTTTATATTCACTTGTGATAAGTAATACTGTCCACTTTTTAAAAAGTGAAATGTTTCTTTTTTGTTGGAGAAATGAATACTTAGTATTGGAGTTCAGATGATTTTTAGCTTTTTGCGCAATTGGAAAACTGCCTCACTCTACATTAATAAAGTATCCTAGGAGAGGAAATTAATAGATGAGCAAGTTTATTTGTTTACCTTTATATTTCTTTTGTTTTCTTAGGTCTTATCATGGTTTTGGCTGGAGCCTCTGAATTTGATCCTCAGTATAACAAAGATGCCACAAGCAGACCAACAGATAATATTCTAATACCTCAGGTTAGACCTGTGTCCTAAATTCCTTGATATAATAAGCATTTAGGTATTAAAGTTAATGCTTTTCAGTATATAGATATTTTTAATAATTATTTTATTTACTCTAGCTAATCAGAGAAATTGGCAGCATTAATTTAAAGAAGAATGAGCCTCCACTTACCTGCCCATATAGCCTGAAAGCCAGAGTTCTTTTACTGTCTCATCTTGCTAGAATGAAAATTCCTGAGACCCTTGAAGAAGGTATTTATGATTCTAATATCTGCACGGTTTTAATGGTGCAAAAGCAACGGATTTAATTAGACTTCATGGTGCAATGTTTTTGTTGCTGTTCTTTTTTGCTCAATCAAATAATTGCTCAAGGATCTTTTAAAAAGAAATCTTTAGGGGCGCCTGGGTGGTGCAGTCAGTTAAGCGTCCGACTTCAGCCAGGTCACGATCTCGCGGTCCGTGAGTTCGAGCCCCGCGTCGGGCTCTGGGCTGATGGCTCAGAGCCTGGAGCCTGTTTCCGATTCTGTGTCTCCTTCTCTCTCTGCCCCTCCCCCGTTCATGCTCTGTCTCTCTCTGTCCCAAAAATAAATAAACGTTGAAAAAAAAAAATTTAAAAAGAAATCTTTATGCTACATAATTACTTCACAGATATTTTGAAGGTCTAAGTCCGATATTTTGGCAAATGTTAAAATTTAGTATTTCAGGGTGAGAGAATACTCTGAAAAATGTTTAGTCAGTTGCAGATTATACAAAAATTCCTAGTGACTTTTTAAAAAAGATTTTATAAGCTTTTGGGGGGAAGAAAAAATGGATTTCATAATCAATACCTCAGTCAGCTCCACAACTACCACCACCACTTCCAGCTGTGGTTGCTGATAAAGTGTTTAATCTTTATTTAAAGGTTCCTAAGTATTTGCAGCCACCTATCTATTTAAAAGAGAAGCAGTGGGGCACTTGGGTGACTCAGTCGGTTAAGCATCCAACTTTGGCTCAGGTCATGATCTTGTGGTTCATGAGTTCAAGCCCCGTGTCAGGCTCTGTGCTGACAGCTCAGAGTCTAGAGCCTACTTTAGATTCTGTGTCTCCCTCTGTCTCTGACCCTTCCCCGCTCTTGCTCTCTCTCTCTCTCTCTCTCTCTCTCTCTCTCTCTCAGGGAGTGAATAAACATAAACATAAACAAAATAAATAAATAAAAGTAGTGGATTGGGACAGTGGTGTTTCCAGGAATACCATGAATTTGTCATTTTTTTTTTTTACTTGCATGATTTCATTTGAAGTTTTCAAAGAAAGTTATTATCCTTCGGGAATAAATGTTCTTTCTGAATGAAGCTCCTCCTCTGCCATTTTAAAGCCAATAATATAATCAAATGCCTTTGAAAACAAGGGCAATTGATGATCATTGGTTGATGATAAGATAGGATACTTAAGATGGAATGAAGGATCTCTATTTAGGCATTGTTATTGGAGTTGCAAGTTAACTGGTAATTCTAATGTTCTGTACAGATACAAAACCATCTCCCTTTTTACCAGTTATCTAAGAAACAGGGAACAAATATTTTTTTAGGTTGAGTACCAACCCCATGGATGATCTTAACAGTTAACTATTAGGTGCAGTAAAAATGACTCTGTCTCGTTCCTTTTCCTTCCCCTCTTTATCATCCCCTCTCTTCTTTCTGCATGGAATTGACATTCACTATCAATTTTAGTCTTTGGACTTATTCATAGTTACAGAAACTTAGGTATACAAGAAGAAAATTTTTAAGGTTCTTAAATATAGTAAGATTAGAATTAAGTTTAAGACTATTTCTTCCAAACAAGGGAGTTAACTTACAAAGCACAACACTTGTAACATTAAAAATTTGAAACATCATATCTGAGCTAGAATTTTCTGACTGATTTTTGACAGTGCTGCTTAGGAGAAACTTCAGCCTGCAAAATTCTTATTAGGTCGTGTGAAATATTTGTGGGACAACTTAAATTTAGTATTAGTCTTGGACTGTAGATGATAAAGATGTTATAATTGTAAAAGTAGAATGATTCGTTTCAGGTTTTCTCTTGTTTTGCAGATCAGCAGTTTATGTTGAAAAAATGCCCTGCCCTACTTCAAGAAATGGTTAATGTAATCTGCCAACTAATAATAATGGCCCGAAGTCGTGAAGGTGAGGTGGAAATGTAATTAATTATGTTGTACTTTTTCTTGCAAGCATATGCAGATTACACTTCATAGTTCTAAGATTTATGAGTACCTACAGTAATTCTGCCCGTAGGTTGAGTCAGCTTTCCCACTTTTGTTCATGGTTTTTCTTACTTCTTTCCTATATTTTCCGTTATGTAAAGTCTTTATCACAACTCATGTTTTTGAATTTATTGTTTTATTGTTTGTTGTCACTTATTGTTTGCAAATATTTAATATACCTCTTCTTTCCTTTGAATATTTTTAGAGTTAGGTTATTCTGTATTTTAACAGTGAGTTTGAAATAATTCTTTTAAGTGACGTAACGATGATTTATCTGATATGTAGTGTTTTTCACATGAAGGGAAAAAAAGAGTGAGGAGGAAGAAAAAGAATGAGGGAGTTTGTGGTCAGTAATGGAAAGGGAGACTCTTAGGAAAGGAGATGATGGTTGTGGTTTGTTGTTATGGCTGATGTCAGTTCTTGGCATGGTGTCAGTATTTGATACTGATAATTTGCTATTTGTGGAAGTGATGCAAAGAATTTTTCTGTTAAATCAGTGCTTCTTGCTGGATAATGATTATTGCATTTGAACAAATTTGTGTATTTTTGGTATCTTATAACTTTTAAAGGAAAGTCAACACTATGATCTTAAAATATGAGGTGTTAAGGATAGTCGCATGAATCATGTTATTGTGATGAATTATATACTCCTGAACGTATAAAAAGTCCAGCCTTGTTTTTTCTTTTCCTCCTGTTCTTTCTAAGAAAGGGAGTTTCGTGCTCCAACTTTGGCATCCCTAGAAAACTGCATGAAGCTTTCCCAGATGGCTGTGCAAGGCCTTCAGCAGTTTAAGTCTCCCCTTCTGCAGCTGCCTCACATTGAAGAGGACAATCTTAGAAGGGTTTCTAATCATAAAAAGGTAATTCTTTGCCACTTTAAAATCTGTTTTGCCCATTTGTTATGTTACTTAAATAACGAGAAAAGTGTTCTAAAAGTTTTTATTACGAATTTTTTAGGTTTAGAATATCTTAAACACTCTAAAACTATCCCTCAAGTAGTTCTGTTAACAATTTCTTGATTAGGTAGGTGTTTTATAATCTTTTACCTACTGTAAGTTATTTTACTACTTTGGGGTCCAATATATTTTAGCAATTAGCACTTTATTCCTTATATTATGTTACCAGAAATAAATATACAAGTAGAAGTGCAGTGTATGCTTTCTAGTCATTAATACCTGGCTTAAAGGTTGGGCAATGGTTTATCGGTTGAATAGGAACAAAAAAATTAAGTTTTCAAAAAATAAGTAGATCAAATAAAGATGCTTCTTATTTAGAAAATGCAGTCTGTAGTAAAGATCCAACAATGAATCTTAAGATGTAGCAAAAATATGTATAAATGAAAAAACTTGGAAATACAAGAAAAAAACTAAAATTATAATTCTGATAGGAGATTTTAAATATTGCTTTGTATACACTAGACACAATGGGCAGAAGACAGACATTGGATTTGATGGTATTTTTTTTTTCTAATTTTTTTTAATGTTTATTAGTTTTGAGAGAGAGAAAGACAGAGACCAAGCAAGAAAGGGGCAGAGAGAGAGGGAGGCACAGAATTGGAAGCAGGCTCCAGGCTCTGAGCTGTCAGCACAGAGCCCAATGCGGGGCTCGAACTCACAGACCGTGAGATCATGACCTGAGCCGTAGTCGGCTGCCCAACAGACTGAGCCACCCAGGTGCCCCTGGATTTGATAATATATTAAGGTAGAACTAATGTATATTAGAAATTTGCATTTGAGTTTTCTGTCCTTTCAGGTAATTGTATTGCAATTATAAATTTGTTCACTTAAAACAAAAAATTTTTTTAATCTTTATTTTTGAGAGAGAGAGAGACAGACAGAGCATGAGCAGGGGAGGGACAGAGAGTGAGGGAGACACAGAATCTGAAGCAGGCTTCAGGCTCTAAGCTGTCAGCACAGAGCCCGACAAAGGGCTCGAGGTCACGGACCACAAGATCATGACCTGAGCCAAAGTTGGACACTTAACCGACTGAGCCATGCAGGCGCCCTGATTTGTTCACATTTCTAATCGAAAACTTTGTAATAGAAAAGTGGACATTCCACACACCTCATGATCTAATCCCTGTCTGCAAAAGTAAAAATTAACTAGCACCAAATGGCTGGAAATTAACACTCTGCTAAGTATCCCTTTAGCCCAGATGGATATTAGTGCAGTAACAGCTATATTTAGAGAACAACAAAAATGAGAAAATTGCATAGTAAAACCATAAGGATGCAGCTGCACTTGGAGATAAATTCATACTCTTAAAGGTTTTTATCATTAAAATTGAAAATATGGGTCAGCAAACTGAGCATAGAAGATGACAGTCATTCTTGCTTGGGTCAAGAGTCTATGAATGTTACTGTCTTTTCCTCCTAACTTTATTTTTTCTAAAATTAAAAAATTACTCTGTTTTAACTTTGTAATAAAAAAAATTCTTAATTTGAATTTCCTTGGATAAAAGGCCATGAAATGCTATAAAGTTGTATTGTTTGCTTTGAAATGTGTATGTAGATCTTCCTCAGCTTATAGTGGGGTTACATCCTCATAAAGCCATCGATTGTAAGTTGAAAATATCCTAAGTCAAAAATGCATTGAATACATCTAACCTACCAAATACAGTAGCTTAGCCTAGCCTACCTTAAACGTGCTCAGAACACTTACATTAACCTACACTTGGGCAAAATCATCTAACACAAAGCCTGTTTTATAGTAAAGTGTTGAGTATCTATCTCATATAATTTATTGAATACTGAACATGAAAAACAGAGTGGTTCTAAGTGTATGGATTGTTGACTCTTGTGAGCACGTGCTGACTGGGAGCTATTGCTCACTGCTGCTGCCCAGCATCATGATGATATTGTATTAAATATCACTAGTCCTAGACAAGATCAAAACTCAGGAGTATGGTTTCTACTGAATGCATATTGCTTTGGCAGCATTGTAAAGTTTAAAAGCTTTAAGTAGAACCATTGTAAGTTGGGGACCCTGTGTAATCTTAACATTTTTTTAAAAGTTGTTGGATTTTGTTTTAGTAAACATGCTAATTTTCCTTTTGTGAAAAATTCTATGACTTTAGGATTTATTTTCTTTCTTCTTCTCTCTTTTAAAATTCAGTACAAAATTAAGACTATCCAGGATTTGGTGAGTTTAAAAGAATCAGATCGTCACAATCTACTGCACTTCCTTGAAGATGAAAAATATGAGGAGGTTATGGCTGTCCTTGGGAGTTTCCCATATGTGACTATGGACATAAAATCACAGGGTAAGTGTGAGAACATTTTTGTGGGACCAAAAATACAAGGATGTGTTAGGGGTGGTTTCTGTCTGTAAGGGGCTTATAGTCTAGTTGAGGAAAGAGGATATAAACATAGGATTAATACCAAGGAATCATAAAGCAAGTGTGAAATGAATGACACGGACGTTGTGTCATTCATGCATTCAACAACTATTGAGTGCCACTCATTTATCTGGGTGTTCGGGAAGCAGTGGTGAGTTAGACAAAGCCTCTACCTTTCTAAGTTTGCATTCTAATGGAATTGAAAAGAGATAAATGACTCAAAGATTGGGGTGTTTGAGAAAGTAAGGTAAAACTGCAGTCTGGTTTCAAATCAGCTGGAGTGTAGGATACATGTAGGGACTGCTTTGGTGAAGAGTTCGGATTTCCTTGTGGGTTTGTGAGTCTTCAAACACTTAAAAACAGTAAAAGTTTCATTTAGGACCAATTTAAATCAGAAACTATGCAAGTAAAAAAAGAAAATAGAAACTATTCAAGTAAAATCCAATTTGGGACTTAAGAGATAACTCTGATAATAATCAAGAGCTATAAAAAGTACATTCTGCTTAGAAAAATGAATGTCAGATTTTCTTGTTAGAAGTAAGGTAAGAATATTCAACCTCATTGGGAAACTTCATGATGTATGTCATTCCATAGCCTCTTGTATAGACAATTTACTGTATTTTCACAGTGCTGTCCCAATGTGTAATATGAGTAATATAGTTAAGGGAGGGAGAGGAGAAGCAGTTTAGAAGCAGGAAAGGGGCATCTGCATTATCTAGTGCTGGAGATGGTGGATCTCTCTCCCACATTGCCTAGAGGCTGTGTAGAATCACCTGTAGGCTTTTTCTTCACCGTAAAGCATCAAATGGCCGGTGGATACAGTTATAGCTATTAACTCGTGTGCAGTGCTCATGCACATACAACTGTGCGGTGTTGATGAATGTGTAGCCCAGATTTGATAATGGAAAGATAATGGAGACTTCCAGATTGAAGAAAGGATATTGTATCCTTCTTGGTGCCTAGCTGTTGCACCTCACAGCCAGTAATTGAAGAGAGATAGTGATAGTTTGTTGGAGGCCATTCTTTTCCAACTGGTAGTGTGTTAATGTAGGCCACAACATAGTATGCTAATCTACATCTATGTAAAATAAACATAACAAGCTCAGAAAAATCTATAGGCGGAAATACATAGTGAAGAAAACTCTTACAGATAAAACTTGTAGGTGAAATGAATTATTTACATATTTGAATAAGATCTGTTTGATGTTGTAGTAATTTATTTTAACATTTATTTTAATGTTACTAATTTTAATGGTAAGCTTATCTTACTAGCTTTAGCTTTTGGCAATATGTGTGGCAAGTGTAGAGTTGTTTTTTGTTTTTTTTTTGGCAAATGTGGTTTTAAAAAATTAAACAATTGCAAAAACATTGTGAAAACTTTTAAAGGTGTTTTTTAATATAAACAAATCTTGGAAGTTTTTGCCTTAAAAAAATAAATTTAATGTGACTTGGAATACTAGTCCTAATTATCTTATTTCTGACTGGCAGGCTGGCATTGATGATATAGTTAAAGTCTTGTGAATACGAGGTTTGCATAGTTTAAGAGAGTAACAGAACCCTTTTTTATATCGGTATGAAAGAAAGGTGTGGTATAGCAGTGCTCACATTATACTTTGTTTTAAAACACCTGGGTTTGAAACTTGGCAGTGCAAATATGGCCATTATGTGACCTCAGGCATTTAATTTTACATTAGTTTTGAACATCAGTTTTTTCTTTTTTTTTTTTTTTTAATTATCTTTTTTTATTTTAGAGTGAGTGTGAGTTGGGGCGAGGGCAGAGAGAGAGAGAGAGAGAGAGGGAGAGGGGCAGGGTCCACCCTCCAGCACAGAGCCCATCGCAGGGCTCAATCCCATGACCCTGGGATCATGACCTGAGCCGAAATCAAGAGTGGGGTACTCAGTTGACTGAGCCACCCAGGTGCCTCCTCAGTTTCTTCTTTAAAATGGAAATAATAATAATGCTTCATAGGACTATTTTATTTTTTAAATTTTAACTTATTTTATTTTATTTTATTTTATTTTATTTTATTTTATTTTATTTTA